GCAAGGACACACTTTAGTTCTACTCCAAGCAAAAATAGAGAAAGTGCTTTAAGCTCTACCATTACTGTGTGGGATAGCTGGGTCTACCTGGGCTGGACTCTCAGGTTCACAGTTCTCCCAAGGAAGCAGGTCATAGGCTGAATACCATAGGACACTCATGTTGGTGACCTTCATTCACTCAGCAAGACCCCACTCTGCTGGCCACTACCTCCTATCTTGTTATCTAAATCCCTTCACTCACCACCAATGAGAGATGGGTGGGAGTCACCTTGCCTACTTCTCAACTTTGCTTCCATTAAACCACCTACTGGTTGCAGCTTCATTGTCCTCAAGGGGAGGAAAAGAATATCCTAGAGGGCCATTTCTATCAATACCCAGGGAGGACAGGAATGGCAACATGGTGTTCTACCTTCCAGAATGCTGGTGGCCCATGACCTCAAAAATGCAAGCCCCTCCAGAGAAAGGCAAGTTTCTATGATTTTCCTAAGATAAATTCCAGACAAATCAAAGCTGAAACAAGTAACTCTCCATTATATTTATAACACAATATTGAAAGGGAGTCACCAGAATTATAGAGAATTACAAGTGAATCATGAGAAACAGTTGAAAAGGACTTAGAGGTATCCTGACAGTATAATTCAAAATTAGTAGGTTGTTTTCCTGGCAAAAATGTTTCAGAATTGTAAACTAGACATAATCTTTGTGTCCTGGAAGCTGAGGCTATAGGACTGCCATGAGTTCAAAGCCAGTTTGGGCTTCATAGTGAGTACCAGGACAGACTAATAAACTACAATGTGAAACTACAATAAAAAAATGTAATTCACAAAAAATAAACAAGCTCTTGTTGACAGTTTCATACCATAGAGTGAGACATCTTGGTTCAGCATCATCCTATCAGTTTTGTAAGCTCTTTGTGCATATACACAATATGCATGCACATATGTACATACCACAACACAGGACACCTGGCTCTGCATAGCTTGGCAGAGTAGTTCAGTAGTCAGAGAAATGGGTTCAAAGGTAAAACACCTACCTATATTTAATCCCTCCTGGGCCATTTCCTCATCTGTGATCTTTAAGTTTTCTGTCCACTACTTTGCTCCAATATGAAATGATTATGAATATGGGTAAGAAGCTATTACTTCAGATGTGAATTTGAGGATGAAGTAAGTTGTAAAGTACATTTAATACCAAGGTTGGTACACAGTGCTTAGCAGTTATCACCTTTTGCACACTCTCAACTAAGGCTTTGAATGGATGTATCTGAGCTCAAGTTTCCTGAAAGCACCAGGGCTAAAGCTAGAGACACCGCTTAACTTTGTAAGCACATGTTCTCAAAGGAGAGAAACACCAGTTTATAAATCTGGTCCTAAGTCAGCATTTTCTCCATCTGGACACGTGAGCCCTGTTAAAATTGTCACCATTCAGAATGCAATCCACATGTGTCTCCGGAAACAGATATTGATTTTATTTTCAGTCATATCTTTAGCATGGAAATGGGATGAGTTTTCTCCTCAGGCTCTGGAGCAGTGAATTGGATTTCTTCTGCACCAGCTGCAGGGCACCACAGGTGTTCATATCTCAGCCATCAAAGTGGTAATTGGGACACGAGGGGACAGAAAAATGCCCTTGTTCTACACGCCATTTCCATGGCATTGTTACAGGGTAGATGGCATGGCCAGCAGCTGAGAGACTGGAGTACCTGTCATTTCTAGGGTTGGGAGGACGCATACATTGTTGGAGAGACTGATATATTCTGTGCTCTATCTGGGAGGGATGAACATCCATGCCATTGTCATCATATGTCATCTAATACAAACTCTTGCTGACTTAGTATGATGTGCATGGGCTCCTAATTTTTGGGGTCTAAGCCAGAAATAGGTTGGGTCTCTCACATGCCTTTTCGGGGTTGCTCTGGAGCTATTTGAGGCAATGACCTCCTTTTACTTACTTTACATTTCATGTGAAAAGAAAGCTCCTAGAATATAAAAAGAGAGTTGCAGAGACCATGAGCACAGGCTTGCACCTAAGCACCTTCACAGAAGTAGCCAGAACCCAGCACAGGCCTCCAGTTAGCGCTTTTGTTTCTTTGTTTTTAGGTAAGATTTCATATAGCCCAGGCTGGTCTAAAAGTCACTAAAGAGCTCTGGTTGGCCTGAGTTCCCGGTCCTTCTGCCTCTATCTCCCAACTATGGGGACTGTAGGTGTGCACCACCCTGCCCAGTTTAAGGTTCACTTTTGAAAGCTTTTCTTAAACCATAAATGAACTTCAACTAATGTCTGAAATCTAAAGGACACCTATAGTTGGTGGTGGATGCTGAAACTTTATCTGCAACAGCCTTTTTTATTCTTTCATTCAGGCTGGTGTATGTACACCCTGGCTACTACCAACGATGCTATCCTAGGACCCTTGCTAAGTTGATGGAGATCCTGCACTTTGAGTGGGAATACCAGGTACTTTTCTTCAGTGAGACTGATGGTTGGGCAGTAGAAGTATGTGAAGGGTTATATAACTTCAGTATATGGAAACTGACAGGTGCATACAATTACTCCTTCACCTAAGCCTGTCTTCATGGTTAGGGTTGACTGTGACCTTAGATAATGCTCTATGATTTGGAAACACCTGTGTTTGCCAGTTCCTAGTCTATTATGATAAACACTATCTATGCCACTATCTATGCTGTGGAGAGTTCCAGCCACCATCAGCACCCACCCAATTACCACCAGCAAACAGAGTTACTCAAGAGTGAAACAATATCTTCAGGCCAGAATTTGAAGAGCTTATTGTTTACAGAAAAAAGTAGGTAATAAAATATAAATATTACTTTCTGGATTGAGAAAAAGAATTAAAGTCATAGTACAAATTGCATGCCGAAATTCATTACTAGAAAGAGTGAAAACAGTGTTTATAGCCAATTAAGAATCTTAGTCATGCAATTCATTTATTCAGTGTGATCCTTATCAAAGTCCCGAGGGTAGTTTTCAAAGAAATATTCTAAAATGCACATGGAATTCCAAAAGACTCTGAGTAGCCAAGATGAATTTACTGCCATATCACTATAACTGAAACAGTGTGGTATTGACAGGGGTGGAGTTGGGGGTGGGGTGGGTTATAAAGACTTATAGAAAACAGCTGGTCCCCATCCTTAAATACAAGGCCAAATGATATTTGACAGAGTACCAAGAGATGATGGAAAGGAGTATATTTTCAAGGAATAAAGCTGGGAAAACTGAATATTCAAACGCAGAAGAATAAAGTGGGGCCCTCACCTTAAGTCCATAATAAAACCAACTTCTGATGGATCATAACTTAAACATAAGCACTACAGCTGTAAAACCTTCAGGATAATATAGAGGAGCCACTTTATGACACAGACCTGATGATTCTTGAATACAAAGCAAAAACTACAGGGAACAAAGAATAAGTTGCACTGTAGCATTTTTTTTTTAAACACAGAACTTGGATGCTTTAAAGGACCATATCTATAGAGTGAAAGCTAACCATGAAATGAGAGAAAATTCTTGTAAATTCATTTACTGATAAAAGGTTAATATTTGCAATATATAAATAAATTTTAAAACTAAACAGAAAAACTGCCCCACTTAAAGAAAGTTTTTTATCTTTTCAAAGAAGGCATGTAATATTTTCCTCCTCCTTCTTGATTTTTTTTTAAAAAAATGTGGTCTTATTCTTTATCCAAAGCCTGCCTGGAACTCACTGTGTAATGTAAGCTAACATCAAACTCATGGTGGTCCTCCTGCTCTAGTCTCCCCAACTGCTAGGTTACTGCCATGAACCACTGTCATTGGTTAAGATAAAGCAATTTCCTAATACATGAAAATATATACAACATAACTAAGCTTTATAAAAATTGTAATTAAAAAACCACAGTGATACATTGTTTTGCACTTATTGGGACGGCTATGGGTGTGGGGAAATTGAAAACTGGAATGCTTTCACAGGAGTGTAAAATGGCATACCTACTACAAAAATCATGGGATTTCATCACGAATTTAAAACCACTGTATGATCCAGGTGACTCATGCTTCCACTTACAGACATATACCCAGAAGGGTTGAAAACAATGATCTGAACCTGTATTTCTCCACCCTGGGTTATGACAGCATCAGTCTTGATGGGTGAAGCACAAGTGTACCCAGTGGTAAGAGTATACTAAAATATCACTCAGCCTTAAAAAGGAAGCGAAGTCTAACATGGACAATCTACCAAAGACAATATACAAAGAAAAATAGAAATTTCTGATGGACTGATGCATTATGGACCTATGTATACAAAGGACTTGAGAGCCCCAAATCCAAAGAACAGGATGAGGCATGCTGGCTGCTTGGGAGGAAATGATGAGTTGATGCTTGGTGGGTGTCAAGCTGAGATTTGTAGATATGTGGAGCTCTGGAAATAGATGCTGTTGAAAACTATGCAGCTATGTGAATATTTTCAGGGTGACTGAGCTACATGCCTGGACACAGCTAAGATGAACTTTATGCAATGTATTATTTTACCACAGTTCATTTTTTTTTCCCACAGAAGAAGCTCAGCATAACATGGAATTCTGGAAAAAGGATAGCATGCAGGGTCTCATGGTGTTCAGAAAGATCCACCATCAGTGAATTGCTATGACATCTTTTCCATGCAGTGAGGTCCTAAATAAAAACACCCTACCTTAAACATGAAAGCTTTGAACTGAACTAAAAACATAAACATCTAGCTTCTCAAGAGTTAGTACCGAAGAGCTGCTGAGTATCTATGGGGAGTTGACAGACGAGTTAACAGCACAATGAAGCTTCCATTGAATGCCACAATTGAATCAGAGAGCATACCCAGGGCCTGGTCTGGCAACAGACAACATGCCACAACTTCACACTGAGTTTGCTCATTGAGATTAGAGTGTGCTTTGCTTAGCAAATCACAACTCCCTCCATTCACAAACACTTTTATGCTTGTTCAAATGGACAACATTTAAGGCAAGGGAGAACATTACCTTTACGTGGCTCCTAGAATCTCCATATGTCTGCGGGGCCAGCTGGAGCCTTTCCTTTGTTGACAATGTGAGAGACACAAAGACTGGACTGGACTCAGTAACTACATCTTCTCCTCTTCTACCAGATGTGGTCACTCTAGAGAAGAATAGAAAGACAGGGTAATGAGGCTGATAGTCACAATAAAACAACAATCCTACACGAGGGATGCCATTACTAGGATGAACTGCTGTTTGTATTGCATTTGTAATCAGTAGGGCAGTAATAACAGGCTAAGCACATATTTATCCTGTGGGGGGTGACACTGGCCCCCATATCACAACACATTTCTGATCAATCATTCTTTATATAAGAATCCCTTTGAACACTCATCCACTGCTGGTGGGGGTGCAAACTTGTATAGCCATTTTGGAGATCTGTATGGCGGTTCCTCAGGAAAATGGGACTCAGTCTACCACAAGACCCAGTAATTCTGCTCTTAGGCATATACCCAAATGATCCACATCCGTGAAACAAAGACATCTGTTCAACTATGTTCATAGCAGCATTATTTGTAACAGCAAGAACCTGGAAGCAACTAGATGCCCCTCAACTGAAGAATGGACAAAGAAGATGTGGCACATTTGCACAATGGAATACTACTCAGTGGGGGCAAAACAAAAGCAATGGAATCTTGAAATTCCTTGAATCCTGAATGAGGTAACCCAGTCACAAAAGGAGGAACATGGTATGTACTCACTCATCTATGGATTTTAGAGATAGATCAAAGGATCATCAGCCTATAATTCACACCACCAGAGAAACTAGGATACAAGGAAGAACCTAAGAGATGCATACAAGGTCCCTCACAGGTGAAAGGGACAAGATCTCCTAAGCATATTGGGAGTTGGGCAGGCAGTGAGTAGAGAAGAAGTCAGGAGAAAGAGAATGGGAGGAGAGGAGAACATGTGGAACCAGGAAGATTGAGTCGGGGGATGAATAGATGAGAGCAGAAAAAAAGAGATATCATAAAAAAAGGGAGCCATTATAGGTTTGAAGAGAAAACTGACTCTAGAGAAATGTCCAGAGAACTACAAGAATGACCCAACTAACAATCTGAGTAACAGTGGAAAGGCTACCTTATATGCCCTTCCCTGATAATGAGATTGATAACTAACTTATATGCCATCATAGACCCCTCAGTGAGTAGCTGATGGAAACAGAAGCAGCCACCCACAGCTAAACACTGAGCAGAACTCCTGGAATCCAGTTGCAGAGAGAGAGAGGAGTTATAAGAAAAGGAGTCAAGACTAAGCTACAGAAATCCACAGAGATAGCTGACCTGCACAAGGGGGAGCTCATGGACCCCCAGACTGATAGCTGGGAAACCAGCATTGTACCAACTCAGACTCCCTGAATGTGGGTCACAGTTAGAAGGCCTGGGCAGTCTAAGGGACCTCTGACAGTGAAACCAGGATTTATCCCTGGTGAATGAAAGGACTTTGGGAGCACATTCCCCATGGAGGGATACTCCCTTAGCCTAGCGACAGGAGGGAGGGCCTAGACCTTACCCCAAATGACTTGACAGATTTTGATGATCCTGATCCCTCCTGGAAGGTATCACCTGTGGAGTGTGGGGGGGATGTGATGAGAGGGGGGTTGGGTGGAATGGAAAGGAGAGAAGGAGGGTGGGAGCTGGGATTGATATGTAAAATAAGAAAAAATAATATATATATATATATATATATGAATCCTTTTTAATTTTGCAATGTAAAGATAGCATAAAATATCACCATTTCAATAAAAGTACCTAAAAGAATTATTTGTGATTGGCCTGAAAAGCATTGAGATAGCATGATGGATCATGAGGGTAGTTGGAGAAGCTCAGTTTATATTTTATTTTCCTTACTTCATAGGATAGTAAACCTAGCTGTGGTAACACCCACTAAAATATTTTGCAAGCATTCATTTGCTGTTTTAAAAGAAAAACAAAAAAGCAAGTGTCCTGGTTTAATTCCTCATGCTGTGATAAAATACTCCAGCCAAAGCAACATAGGGGCAGAAGGAGTTTATTTTAGATTGCAATCCCAGGTTACAGTCAATGGGTTCAGGGAGGTCAAGGCAGGGACTCAAGCAGCTAGCCATATCACATCAGCCAACAGCATAGAGAAATGTACATACCTTGGCTGCCTGCTTGCTAGCTGCTTCTTTTGTTTATTTAAAAACTATACTTTTCATTTTACATACTAACTCCAGTTCCCTCTTCCTCCTCTTCTCCTGCCTTCCCCCACTTTCTTCTCTTTCCACACCACCCCATCCATTCCTCAGAAAGGGTAAGACTTTTCTTGAGGAATCAACAAAGTCTGGCATACCAAGTTCAGGCAGGGTCAAGTGCCACTCTTTTGTATCAGCAAGGTATCTCACCATAAGGAATGGGCTTCAAAAAGCCAGTTCATGCACTTAGGATAGGTCCTGGTGCCAGGGGTCTCCCCAACAATCAAGTCACATAACCCACATTCAGAGGATCTAGTTCAGTCCCTTGCTTGTTCCCCTGCTGGCAGTCCATAGTCTGTAAGCTCCCACTAGCCTGGGGCAGCTTTCTCTGTGGTTTTTCCCATGCTAGCTACTTCTTATGTTCACACACACACACACACACACACACACACACACATACATATACATATGTATATACATACATACATACATACATACATATATACATACATATTACAGATCAGGGTCCAGTCCATGAAATGATACCACATTCAAGCTAGGTCTTCCTATGTTCATTAGTAATCAAGATGCCATTCCATAGATATACCTACAGGCCAACCTGATCTAGAAAATTCCTTGTTAGGACTTGCTTCCCAAGTGTCTCCAGGCTGTGGCATAGTGACAGTTAAAATGAAGGAACACAGTAATATTGTAAGGAATATTCTAAACCTTTTATTTGTTGAAACTATAAAACAGCTTCCAAGTATTTAGCTTGAAATGGATTTATTTTTTAACTCCTGCTCAATACTTATAAAATGGTCACAACTACTAATATAGGGAACATGAGCTATTACCAAAATGGATTTTAGATATTCAATGCTTCATGAAAGTAGATACTGACACTGTCATATAAAGAACACCAAGTAACAAATTTGAATATATTTTAAAGTAAACTTACATAGAACAAACAGGCAATTGAGTACACTTTGCAGGGAAGAGTGTTAGTGATCTGCTGTGATTGAATTCGTACTTGTTTTCATAAAATGTTATTAATATAAGTAGGCCTTACTTCTGGTGTTCCAAGGGCTCCAACTCTATCATACTTTACAGCCTGAAATCAGGGGAAGCTAAGGCAAGAACCTGGAGTCAAGAACTAAAGCAGAGACCATGGAGGATTGATACTTATTGGCCTGCCTTCCATAACTTGCTCACTTTGCTTTCTTATACAGTGTAGGACTATATCCCTAGGGGTGGCAACACCCATAGTGACCAGGGCCCTAATGCATTAATCAATAATCAAGAGAATGCCTCACAGACTTGAGTGTACATCAGTCTGACAAAATGAACTAACTGCCACAAGCACCTATGAGCTTTATTGGGCTATTTCACTCAGCATTCAGAGGGCATGGGTGACCCCAAAGCAGCTATAGTGGGAAACCCTTCACCCAGCATTGATAATGGCTTCCCCATAGCCACACAAATGGCATCCATCATCACTTCAGATGAACTTCCCCAGCAAGTACCTTCTAAGGCCCCAAGGCCATGTGGAATTATGGCAAAACTACATAAAAAGTCTGGAGGAGAGCCTGGAAAATCAAATGAAGGCTCAATGACATTCCCCAGCTCCTCCTTCTAATGAAGAAATGTCAGCAGTCAATAAATCAGATAGTGATGAGTGCTTGCTAGTAGGCACATTTGATCTGATGAAGATCGAGGCTGGTTTGCTCAGAAGACAGCATTCTTGTACAAGTAGACTGTAGGCTACTATAATGCTTTTTTCATGTGTGTTTGAGTTTGTGTGTGTACATATATCTGTGCATTTTCATACACATACCTACACATTATGCTTTGACTAATACCTTTCACTGTGTAAAAATCCACAGGGGAGTTGACAGGATCATATAAGATTCCACCTTTGCCCAGTTGCTTAGTATTGGTGAAGAGAGTACCCTCAGGGGTCTAGTTGCCCCATATGCTTACTTTTTGTGGATCCTGGATGAGCTCTAAGTGGAGTGAGTATTTAGAAGGCAGTAGAAACAATAAACACAGCCAGACTGTCCCCACTATTCTCCTTGCTCTATTCCATCACTTTCCAGAAGAGAATCTATGCAGTTACCTTGAAGACATTTGCTATTTTGGGGGGGGGTAACTATATTGTACATGTTTGTGTTTTAAATTGTTTTGAAGTAATTGAAGATTCAGATACAGTTGGAAGAGATGCTACAGGGATGCCACTTTCCTTTCTCTCTGTATCTCTTGCATCTTGAAAATTCAGAGGGCATCATTTACCCAGAGCAGCACTGGATTATCCTGCCCTTGCTCAGATCTTGAGGTTTTATATGCATATGTGCGTGTCTCTGTATGTGTCATAGTTTGACTGTTGAATATCTGCTAGAGGGTATGTGTGTGTTGTTGTTGTTGTTGTTGTTTTGTCTTCGGTGTGGCATTATTAAGAGATGCTGTTGACTTTGGGAATTGGGTCCTGGTGGATGACCTTGAAGGGAGCTAAGATGCCCTGGCTCTTTCCTTCCTACTTTGCTCCAGGATCTTGACAGAGCTTGCTCTGCCTCCTGTTCCTCCTGCTCCTCCTGCTCCTCTCCAGTGCATCTGGCACCCTGCCAAAGGCTTAAAGCAATGTTCTTCCTGGGCTTGAGGTGAACTTAAATCCAGGAGTCAAAAATCACCTTTCCTCTTTTAAGTTATTGATTCTGGGGATTTTGTTACAGAGGTGGAAAGCTGACAGACATCTGGCTAACACTGTGTATTCAACTTTACGACACTGTCATGTGTGTAGGTGGGCTGTCTACTGGCTCTGTCAGCATGCAGAACACCAGTCATTCAAGGACAATAGGCTACTTACTCTTTTATAGCAAGCTGCCTCTCTCAGCTCCCATCACCTCTGCCCCTTGGAATGATGGCATGACAAGAATGTGTTTTAAATGGAG